AGGGGGGGAAGCGAACAAACTGTCTGAAAAGAAAGACGGTCACCACGGGGACTGAGTGAGTGTCCGCCTATCTATCGCGCAGGCTCTGACTGGCAGAAATTACTATTTACTGGTCTTAGTAAATATGATTACTAGAATTCACACTTTGGCATAGGCACGAACTTATAGGAGCAGTATCCGAGTCCTCGTAGTCTAAAACTAGTAGAAACGAGCACAGCCTGGTGGATGGAGTTGAGAGGGTGGAAACCGAGACAAACCCCGATGCACCCAGGTCCTCAAACATGTATTTAATTGACATAGCATGAGCCCAGAGATCGAGCGTTGATTTCATATGAGCATCACCTCTGACTAATACTAACTTCCGAAATAGTGCCAATACTAGTAGGACTCATCTACCTTACTATTCAGTACAAATAGAAATAGTAGTAGCCGTATCATTCTCGGCCTCCTTGGGCCTGTCTTGACACCTACTTAAGGGGAGTGAGGGTAGGTAGTGCGGCAGTTCCCGCGCAGAGTCTACTGTTAGGCGGCGTTTCGGGTTTGCATTGGATAAGGCAACTAATGCCGGGTTCCGTTTGGCCTTCTTGAGCCTGGTCAAAGGTGAAGAGTGTGGTTGGCGCCAACTGCGTCTAATATCACTATACTCCACCGCCTGAGGTCCGTCACCTTCTGCACCAACTTGTTGGTGCACTGGGTGGACTTCATCGAAATCGATGGTCATACACACATACGACACGACGATAGTTCCTCCGTCGATTTCGACAATGGGCACCGCGTGCTCCAATAGCCGTAGCAAACGCTGAAACAAGCCGCAACAGACGCTGAGGCAAGCTGGGCAAGCGGCATGAAGGCTACAGCAAGTAGAAGCAACGCAGCGAACTACCGCGAACGAAACAAGAGTTAAAGCAGACTCGCGGAGAATCTTCCCACTCACTCACCACTCCCACCTTCGTTTCCGGTGTAAAGATAAAGTCAATAAGACCGTGGATGAGAGAAGGTGTAGGTGGCTGGCGCGATAGTCACTCAGCACGCGCACACTTGACACAGC